GGGGCTCATATATAGTTAACAATTATTAAACGTTCTCTTTTATTAGAGACTCATAAGATTTTAACCTTAACTTCCTCCCAGGGGGCTCATAGTTTTTTAACAATTATTAACGTTCTCGCTAATGGAGACTCATAAGATTTTAACCTTAACTAACATATTTCCTTACAAAAAACTAAAACCCCTGTTCTCAGCCAAAACATATATACGTATATATCTCTAACATAAATCTTATCATAACATGAGTTGACACACAGCTGAAGCACAACAGAGACATCTTTATTTTATAATTTTTTCTCACACACACACGAAAAGAATTCAATCAACAAGAATGCATTAATTCATACGATACTCTAAAGCATGCTACCGTTTCTCCTTATTTCTCATAGTTCCTTTCTACATTTCTGCTACCTCGAGTTGCAGATATTCAATGAGAGGTTACTTCGAACACATACCTCGTCAACCATATGTCGAGAGGTAACATGCAAATGAATGTATCTACCACAAACTCCAGTTCCCAGAACTGACCTTAAAAATCAACCTAGTGAGTTTTCAGGATTTTTTGGCCCATCCTAATGATTGCCTCGTTTGAGGGCTTTCGTAGATCAGCGACGTCCTAATTAGTATACATTTTTCCTTAGTTCCTGGCCTTATTCCTTCATTCTATTCCTTATCCCTTTAATTTTATTCAAGCCAAATATCCCTGTGCCCAGTTTGATCAATTCCTATAGACACTCCGCCCTGTTTGCGTTGTTTTCAAACAAATTTAGAACAGATTCTTATCCCACAGCAAATAACAGCAAAGTGCACACATAAGTCTTTTAAACGGTACATCTCCTCAGCGCACACACCCACACAAGCACACGAACCGACCAGCGCCCAAAATTGTGAGAAATCTCACCTTATGTGCCGGCTTCTTGAGCGGGAGTCACTTCGTAGCACATGAATGGAACGCTGGAGAGACGCAACACGTCCCAAAGGTACTCGTCGCCATTCTGTGGTATCGAAATAACAATGCTAATTATGCTGTGATGACAAGAAATCAGCTGACACTGTCCTTGATTATAATGGTTTATTACATCAAAGATTTCAGCGTCAATTTACAGACTCCTGCAGACATCTGGAGAACAACTGACCCAATCTCTAATATGTTATTTCCTCCTGTCCTTTGTTCCAACCATGGTATTTATAATATGTAACATAATATGGGTGGTTTTTCTACAGACCAATCCCTGGCCTCCACATAACAGACTCTCCTCTGTTTTAGGGGGCCCCTATAGTAATGCTTTCCAGATAATTCCGCAAGCAGAGCCAACTTCCTCTAACACACCATTTGCAAACGTCAGCAAAGTCATAAACTGTTTAGATACTACACTAGCTTTGCATGACTTCAGCCCTGCCCCTAGGAGCCTGTTTCGAACCGTCCTCGCCGTGCACTTCACCCCAGCTGCCGTTTGCCATTCTTTTTGTAGGTCACTTGATGTCATCCTACGGTTGTTGAGTGACATTCGAATGAGTTGCGGTCATCCCGGTCAGTAGAGAGTTGTTTTCGCCCTCTGCCGGTCTGTAGCTTTGTTTTCCCCAATATCTGCTGCTTGACCTTGTTCTTATTCTCCGCCTTTTTTGAAATTTTAAGGATGGAAGCAACCTGACGCTCACTGTATCCCTCTGCCAGTAAAGCCAGAATTGAACCCTTCTTTTCCTCACTCAAAACTTTCCTTTTCAACTCTTTTGGCATGGTCGATAGTTATTTTTTGATTAATATTACTTTTGAGGTACTACTAGCACTTTTTTTGCCATCCAGCTGGTCCTATTGCAAGAGGATAGTGATGACCACAGCAGTGGTTTTTATACTTTTCCTCGTTAAATAAGATTTGGTTCAGGTGATCACCTAATCAGTACCTAATTGAGTAGAATGAGGTGTGCCTCTGTTGGAATTCAACAGACACTGGAATGGAATGGCTGTCATACATGTAGAGATGCTGATTTAAGAACATTTTGCAGTGGTCTCTTAATTTTTTCCAAAGCTGTACTAGTCAGGAAGTTTTTTTAAATGCTTAAGTTAGAAGTTGTTTGATCCCTTATTTGTTTTTCTACATTTGTATTAATGTCTTTTTAAAAGTTGTAATTTTTTAAGTTGAGACGCAAGTCTCAAAATGGGGGAATATGGTAGAAAATTATAAGATTGTTTGAATAATGTTTATGCATCGAATAAGGTTTCTCAGTATTCCCTCGTCTGTGTGAATTGAGTTGGCCTTGGGGGTTTGGGCTAGCAGCTGATTGACTCAACCCAGAGCCTGCATCCATAGATTGAATTGGTGTTTGTGTTCTTTGAGGTACCAGGGAGGAGATGGCTCTGGTATGGATAGCTGTTAAGAAGAATCTTGTCTTAGGGGCTGTTATGACGAGTTTCTCTGGTATATCGTACTTCAGGATGTAAGAGAGTAGTTGACCACTTAGATGGAGAGTTGATTCATAGTTATTTAATGTTACAGTACTTGATTCATATGACAAGCGGTACGGGTGTAGCCTCTTGTCATCCGAATGAATTACATAGAAGAATCTCTCAGTTTATAAAATGCTTCCCGAGCTACTTCCAGATCCAACAGTTGCCAACCATTATTGAGTGTCTGTCACGATCATCATTAGATGAAACGGGCCAAGGCGCAGCGTGATAAGCGTACATGATTTATTAGATGTACAACACACGAACAAAAACAACAAACGATACGTGAAGTCCACAGGTTCACCAACACAAACCTACACGGAACAAGATACCACATCACACAAATGCCAAACGACTACCTAAGTATGGTTCCCAATCAGAGACAACAAGCAACAGCTGATTCACGTTGCCTCTGATTGAGAACCACCCCGGCCAACATAGAAACACAAAACATAGAAACTAACACCCTGGCTCAACATTAAAGAGTCCCCAGAGCCAGGGCGTGACAGTGTCACTCATCTCCTACAATAGGATCCCCCTACATGGTATTGTGTGGCACTCTTGCCAGGCCATTCCATCACATACTCCTTCTAAGATTAGCACCTGTGGCCCCCAATCTATCTTGGCACACCGACCTTCTGGCACTCACCCGTGACATCAATAACACATGCCGTGTCCTTGCCCTCTCTCCCACATACAGCTCATGAGTTTAAAGCATTAACAAATACTGTATCAAAAGACGTTATATCAGGGGCCAAATGCTGGTTTCCATACAATTAGAACAGTCTTCACAGCAAATGCTATCTGGCTGGGGGATACTCCTTTCTCACATACAAAACCTCACCTTTTGACCCATTCCAGCATATCTGTTTTCTGTCATGTACTCAGGAGGATGTTCTTGGTCTATAAAGGTTGTGAACCCTACTTTGCTCGTTGACCAGCTCCATTATTGCAATTCTTATTAAATAAAGGTTGATTTACAAAGTCTCTCATTTGGTTAGAATTTCCACAACACTTGTTAAGTATATGTTTACTCCTGAACTTATTTAGGCTTGCCATAACAAAGGGCTTGAATACTTATTGAATCAAGACATTTCAGCTTTTCATTTGTAATTCATTTCTAAACATTTCTAAAAACATAATTCCACTTTGACATTATGGGGTATTGTGTGTAGGCCAGTGACACAAATGCTCAATTTAATGCATTAAAATGTAGTCTGTAATACAAGAAAATGTGGAAAAAGTCAAAGGTTGTGAATACTTTCTGAAGGCACTGTATGTCGATAATATCAAATGACCTTCTAATGTGTGATCAGCAGAAAAATACATTAAGATTGTGTATGTTAGCATTAGCTTCCCCAGGAAAACTTTTTAAAATGAGTCCACACAGCAATATATTCAATGTGCCTAGTTAGTAGGTAGTTTATTCAAAATAATGTTTGGTACCCATCTCTGACCCCATACACACTAAATTTGTACAACTGATGTACAAGACATTTGACGCAACTGTTTTGATACAACAGATAGTTTGTCTGCACAAAAATATTTACACAACAGTCGCAATGGTTGTATCAGAAACATATCCCTTGTATCACAACCATTCTGTCAAATGTGTTGTACATCAGTTGTATGACCTAAGTGTGTACGAGGCCAAACTCATTTTCTATATTACAGATGTAGGGTCTGAATTTGATCAACCTGTTGCAGGAGAACTTCCCTTCAATGCAGGAAAGGTTAAACTTGTAGTGTATTTGAGGTTTAAAAAGGCTTCTGAAGTTTGGAATTTCCACTTTGAAATTTCAGACTTGATTTTCCCTTACGAAATATATATCAACCTATACAAAAAGGTCAATTAATTCACATAATAGTTCACATTTCCTGTTTCTGCAGGATTATTTTAAACTGGCTCAAATTAAAATCCTACATCTGTAGATACACTACTGACCTTCAGTCTCATTGAGAGGTGAGGGGGTTGGGAAATTAAGGAAATAGGCTGTGTACCATCTGTGGTTACCAACTGTTTTGCCTAACGTGGTCCCAATGTTTTGCCCATGTAAAGCATGTGTGTCATCACTCTCTCCAGGATTTGCATTATTAATATGTTTATAGGTAGGCAAAACAAGAAAACTATTTCAACTGTATAAATACCTGAGTTTCCACTCCTTCATTCTACACAGGTCAGAGCCAGTCATACTTTACACAGACAAGACCCCATCATACTCTACACAGCCCACAGCAGGTAAGAGAGACATAACAGCAATTTATCTGAGATATTGATAACACTGTACCAGTTTGTGAGGTTACTAAATAACTAAAAAGGACAACATTATAGTCAGTTTTCTAGCTACAACTAGATTTGGAATTTGTTTGACCCATTGTAGTATTGCTATAATAGTGGAGAAGGATAATTTTTGGAATTGGAATTTGGAACTTTCAATGTGTTATAGTGATATGATCTTGAGTGTGCAAACTCATAAACTAATACATTTGACACATATCCTCAAACAGGACAGCATCCTATCACTTCTCCTCTGTCTCTCCTGACCCTGTGGTCACCATGGACATGACACCACTCCTGCTCCTACTTTGTGCCAGTAAGTATCCACTCAACCTACTGTACACTGTAACGGAAAACTCAAATGTATATGGTAATTTTAGGTATTACCAACAGTAAAGAAAACAATGAAATGTTTTACTGCAGCATACTGTAAATTATGGTGCATTGTGGGAAAAGTGCTGTATTTTAAGTGGTACACTGTTTTTAAGGTAACTTCCTGGCAGCCAATTACCTGTATGTTACTGTAAAAATGTGTACATAATGTTTCCGTAAATTCCAAAGAAACTTTGGTTTAACAGTACATTACTGAAAAGTTTACTGTAAAGTGCAGCCAACCTGCTTGCACCAATCACTTGTAATTACAGTAAAATACTGTGAAATACAATCCCATCCTCTCAATTAATTTCATTCATTCATTCCGATTACGGTAGTGTAGTTTGGTGAAAATGTACCATTATGTAGAAATTGTTAATCTGACTTTATTATTATGTGAATAAATGCAACAGGCCCTGTGCGTCTCTGGTCAAGGTCGCGAGCCTTGCATTACCACACAGTATGACTATAATGAACATGTGTCTATCCTGCAACGTTATGCAATTATTAAGAGACTAGATACAAATAGCTAATCCTGGCGAACAATGTTATAGCATAGAAATATTGAGGCAAGTAGATCAGGGATGTCAAGAAGGAACCCTCCACTAACCCTCCACTAATATTAGCAACCTTGGTCAACGATTGTTAACATCTCCAGTTGCTTTCAACTTCTTAATTATTGCCCTGATAGTGGAAATGGGCATTTTCAACCGTTTAGCTATTTTCTTATAGCCATTTTCTGATTTGTGCAGCTCAACAACCTTTTGTCGCACATCATTACTGTATTCTCGGGTCTTTCCCATAGTGATGGATGACTATGGGAACTTGGCCTGTGTGTCACCTCCTATTTATACCCCAGTGAAACAGGAAGTCATGGTTTACCACTTAAGTGTTCCTAATCACTCAGGTGAACTTAAAAACGTAAAATATGAATAGGAATATACTTCAGTTAGATTTTACTCATAAGAATTTCTAGGGGTGCCAATAATTGTGGCACACATGTTTCGGATAAAAATATTTATTTCATTTATTTCATATTTCAATCATTTTACTTCAATTAAAGGATCGATTTTTATGAATATTTTGAATGAAAGACCAAGAGGATAAACAGCAAATAAAAAAAATTCACAGACCGTTTTGATCTTATTTACCAAGGGTTCCAATATTAGTGGAGGGCACTGTATGCTTTGTGTATAGTGTAAATAACAACAACCAATAGACCTACTATGTTATGAACGTCTAGTCAATCAAAGAATTACTCAGTAAAATGTGGAATGCATTTACTCTATTCAACTAGTCAAATGTATTAGACACAAAATAATTGACACTCAAACAATTACAGTGTACATGAAATATATGATACATTACAGAAGACAGAGCAAATTACTATAAACTAAATAAGACTTAACGTGGTTACATGTGTCTTCAGTTCAGAATAATCTCTAAGAGAAAAACTATGTGTCTGATACACACAGGAACTTGCTAACAAGTTCTCAAAATATTAGCGAACTCACTGCCCTTTTAACCAAATTCAAGCAGCAACTCACCCCCAACCTAAATTAAAATGTCTTTGCACTTTGCTAGTAAAAACAATAGACAGGAACAACACACCCAGATTCTAATCAACACAATTTAAATGATAAGATCGTACCCTGTAGTCGCTCCCTATTTGAACTGACCGCCGTCCGATGAACAGAATAACACAGTTTCTCTGTAACAATAAATCCATAGCACTTACAGTACAATAAAACATATCAAAATTCATAGCTTTTTATGAACTCTTGAAACAATCCAAAAATGGCAGTTTAATTAACTGTAACATTAATTTTATAGATTCAAGTTTTCATCAGTCTTCAAACCTCTCCTGGTGTCAGTGACCCCAGGACTTTTGTGGGAATGTCTCTTCCTAGAGATTGCCACAACAAAGATGTGAGTCTCTCCTGTGAGATGCAAATATACAGCCATCCATGCAAACAATGTCATGAATCCTCAAGCTGGGCCTCGTAGCCAGCAAATTGCCAGTCGCGAGTGTCACATTCTCAAATTTTTCCACTACAGTAGCATTTACTTATTTACAGTCTATTTTAAGGTATTGTACTGTGTGTCATTACACAGTACTTGCTTTGATACCTTATTTATATTACAGTAGGTGTACTGTAATATTATACTGAACAAAAATATAAATGCAACATGCAACAATTTCAAATATTTTACTGAGTTACAGTTCATATAAGGAAATCAATTTAAATACATTCACTATGCCCTATTCTATGGATTTTACATGACTGGGCAGGGGTGCAGCCATGGGTGGGCCTTGGAGGGCACAGGCCCACCCACTTGGCAGCCAGGCCCACCCACTGTGGAGCCAGGCCCAGCCAATCAGAATGAGTTTTTCCCCACAAAAGGGTTTTATTAAAGACAGAAATACTCATACTCCTACCACCACCCACCCCTCCTCAGAGGATCCCGCAGGTGAAGAAGCCGGATGTGGAGGTCTTGGGCTGGTGTGGTTACACATGGTCTGTGGTTGTGAGCCCGGTGGGACATACTTCCAAATTCTCTAAAATGATGTTGGAGGCAGTTTATGGTAGAGAAATGAACGTTCAATTCTCTGGCAACAGCTCTGGTGGACATTTCTACAGTCAGCATGCCAATTACACACTCCTTGGCATTGTGTTGTGTGACGAAACTGCACATCTTAAAGTGGTCTTTTATTGTCCCCAGCACAAGGTGCATCTGTGAAATTATCATGCTGTTTAATCAGCTTCTTGATATGTCATAACTATCAGGTGTATGGATTATCTTGGCAAAGGAGAAATGCTCATTTGTGCACAACATTTTAGAGAAATAAGCTTTCTTTGGGTATGGAACATTTCTGGGATTTTTTATTTCAGCTCATGAAACATGGGACCAACACACTACATGTTTATATTATTGTTCAGTGTAATACATAATTGTACTTGCCACCGAGCTGCCTGTAAATTACTGTGAAATTCATGGTAACCCCGTTAGCAACTCCTCTTGCACCTGATTGTCTGCTGGTCTTCTCTTTTGGCTGATACATTGTTGTCACTTATTGTTCACAGTGAACATACCTGCTTTTTGAGATATAAACCAGACAATGAAAGAACAAATCTAGCTAACCCCATCAACAACAACATACTCTATAGCTACATGTATAACATCACAAACCATGAAACAAACCTCGGTAACGCTTAATTTTAAGGTGTCATTATTACAGTGTAATTACATGTGTAATTACACTGTAACAATAATTGTAGTTAACTGAAACAACCAATAGTTACACTGTAATAACAACATGTAACTTGTAGTTAGTGTTTCGGTCTGTAATTACAAAGGTGTAACAATGAATGCTTGTTACCATGCTTGTTACAAATGGGCAGGTTTCCACTAAACTCACAACTGTAGAATTTTGTTTCTTCTCAGCTGCATCAGATTCAGTAACAACTGTCACAAAGGTTGTGACCCCTCGTGGATGCTCAATAGGCTGTAATTACTTACCCGTGAGTGTGCACTGTTGAAAATATATCTCCACTCAACGTTATTGCTAAAACCAGCCACCAAAATAAAGTGTACCATCTGGGTTAACACTCAGACATAATTTACAACTGAAGCATGTGTTTAGTGAGTCCGCCAGATCAGAGGAAGTAGGGATGACTAGGGATGTTCTCTTGATAAGTGTGAGAATTAGAACATTTTCCTGTCCTGCTAAGCATTCAAAATGTACTTTTGGGTGTCAGGGAAATGTATGGAGTAAAAAGTACATAATTTTCATTAGGAATGTAGTGAAAGTTGTCAAAAATAAAAATGGTAAAGTAAAGTAGTATTTTTACTTAAGTACTTAACACCACTGGTGCTCGGCCCTCCGTTTCCTGTAGTCCTCGATCAGCTCCTTGGTCTTGCTGACGTTGAGGGAGAGGTTGTTGCTCCGGCACCACACTGCCAGGTCACTGACCTCCTCCTTGTAGGCTGACTCATCGTCGCCGGTGATCAGGCCTACTACCGTCGTGTCGTCAGCTAACTTGATAATGGTGTTGGAGTAATGCGTGGCCACACAGTCGTGGGTGAACAGGGAGTACAGGAGGGGACTAAGCACACAGCCCTATGGGGCCCCTGTATTAAGGGTCAGCGTGGTGGAGGTGATGTTTCCTACCCTCACCACCTGGGGTTGGCCTGTCAGGAAGTTAAGAATCCAGTTGAGAGGTACTTACTTGTAACTCATGTATACCTATATAGTACATTACTCATCCTGACAACCTGGCCCTAATTTTAAAGCTTCTGGAAGTGCAATTCAAGTGGGAGGATAAACACACTAGTACACCACAGAGTACATGTTATAGCTACTAGCTACAATGTAATTACTAGGTGTTACACAGGATTTAGCTAGTCAAAATGAAGTGTATCTTTAGGGGTACTTACTTGTAATTAATGTGTACTTATACAGTACATCACCCATCCTGACAACCTGGCCCTCATTTTAAAGCTTCTGAAAGTTTCACTTTATTTCTTTACCTTATTGTGAAATGACCCAGATAGTACACTTTATTTTGGGGGCAAGTGCTAGCAACAACACTGAGTGGAGATATAATTTGAACAGTGCATATTCAAGGGTAAGTCATTAGAGCCTATTGAGCATAGGCTATAATCTCTCAGACACCCAGTGCATCCACGATGGATCACAACCTTTGTGACAGTTGATACTGTATGCAGCTGAGAAGAAGCAAAACACTAAGTTGGTTAATTTACTGAAAACCTGCCCATTTGTAACAAGCATGGTAACAAGCATTCATTGTTACACATCTGTAATTACATACCGCAATTACTACCAGTTACATGTTGTTATTACACTTTAACTATGAGTTGTTACAGTTAACTACAATACTTGTTACTGTAATTACACATGTAATAAGGACCCCTTAAAATTAAGTGTTACCCAAACCACTTATAATTTATGCTTATTTTGTTGGTCATGTGCATGCTAACATTGAACTTAATGAAATTGTTTCTGTCCTCAGGTGTTTGTTGCACAGCTGCACTCAGCCACCTCAGACAGTTCCATCTCATCGGGAAAAGGTTATTCTGGACAAAGGCACAGGACTACTGCCGAACGCACTATACTGATCTTGTTACTGTGTACAATCAGGAGGAAGCTGAGCAGCTGATACAGTTAATGACATCTAACGGCAGCTATACTGCCTGGATAGGTCTCAATCGCACAAAGCCCAGTCCAAAGTGGTCCAATGGAGACCCTGTTGATTTCACTCCATTGTCACCACCTCCAAGCCCGTACACAGAGCCAATGTGTGCAACAATACTCAAAGATATTACAACATTGCAGAAATGCATACAGCAGAAATACTTCATGTGTTACAAAAAAGGTAATACATTCTACAAAAAAAATCTGATTTCCTGTTTACTTGCTCCTCAACAAAATAATAATAATTATTCAACAATATTTAGATATAATTATTTTATATCAAGCTAAGTTGAGTAGAGTAAAATGTTTGTCCATTCTGTGTGTGCAGGGCCTCGTGATTCCTTCCTGATTGAACAGAACATGACCTGGTATAAGGCTCAGAGGTACTGCAGAGAGAACTACACTGACCTGGTCAGCATCATGAACGAAGGACAGAAGGAAGAGGTGAAGAAAAGCGTGAATGCCAGCACCACTCCTTTCTGGATCGGCCTGCTGTATGATGACTGGGAGTGGTCTGATGGAGGGAGATCTTCCTACAGAAACTGGTTACTGGAACCAAGTGATGACAAACCCCGTGTAAAATTAGTTTCTCCTGGAGTTCTGGTAGCTCTTGGGAGTGACAACCTAGGAGATTCATTATGCTATGAGGGTGTGTGCAAGTCCAAATAATAAATGTTTTTATAAAATACATTTTTTAAACAATTATTTCAGCCAATACTTCATCATAGTTCGGTAAAAGATAGAGTTAGAGTAAGATGGTTTAATATGCATCTTTGACATGTATCAGTGCAAGGGTGATAAAACTGTTAAAATTTTTTAAAAATAACCATTTCATTTTCCCTCATGAATTGAACTCCTTCAGACTCGGTGAAGATCGTTGAGGAAAGCAAGACCTGGGAACAGGCTCTGGACCACTGCATTAAGAACTACCGTGGACTGCTGCGTATTGAATCTGAAAAGGACCAGAGGGTTGTGGAGCAGAACCTGAGGCGTGCTGGTGTCAATGTTTCTGTGTGGGTGGGTCTGAGACAGAGCCAACTCTTTGGATTCTGGGTCTGGACCAATGGGCTGCCAGTGGGGTGGAGTAACTGGGAGGGAGACAGACAGCCTGAACAGCCTCTGTCCAACCATTGTGGTGCCATGGCAACCGTGGTGGGATACAAGTGGAGTGATCAGGACTGTCTGTCCATGTTCTTCTTTATCTGTGAAAAGTGATACATGTTCCTATTGTCTATCACTACCATTCTACATATTGTGATTGAGATGTTGTATTTAGGTAATTGCTCATTGAAATCATATTGCCAATGTTGTTTTACTTACAGCATGCAATGTAATGTACACCTGGTCATTATCAATATAACAAAATATCAATATAAAGTACATCAGTAATCTTTGACTAAAATGTTGTGATATTTCAAATATTTTAAATGTTTAGAACAATAATATATAGATTATATGATGGTGATTAAATGAGGATATTCCTTAGTCATTATATGTCTGCCATTTAGCTGACGGTTTTATCTTAAAGGCCCAGTGCAGTCAAAATTCAGATTTTCCTGTGTTTTGTATCATATTGAACAACAGTTGATTAAATTAACACTGTAAAACTGTGAACAGTGTTCTCAGTGATATTTCCTGATAGTTGCTGGTTGAAAATACAATCTACACAGGACCTAATCAGCAGGGTTACATGTGCGGGAGTTTCGGCTTTCCATCGTGATATCACCATGCGGTAAATTGGTTAATAGACCAATAACAAAGAGAGTTCCAAGCCTCTCTGCCAGTAACAGCTAGTTTTCAGTTTTCCCCTCCCCACTCAGACCACTCACAGACAGTCCTAGCAAAATTATTGTTTGATTCATAGTTTTTTGCACAAAAAAAAGAATTGTTTGACCATTTTAATGGAAATCTATTACAGTAAGGTACTTAATTGTTACCCAGAAATGATTTGATATTGATATAAAAACAGCTGCATTGGGCCTTTAAGTTTACCTATAGTCATCACCATTCCACTCCTGTCACTATGGGTTATTTGTGATGAGCTCTATCATAATCAGTCATAAGTTGCAATGGCTAATTTCCATATACATGATGTTTTTATTAACATTCAGATTTTTCGCTGTTTTGGGAGTTCATCTGGTTTTAACAAAACAATGTCTTTGCTTTCATAATATGTATACATTATTGCCAAATTCAGAGTATAAATATAGTTTTTAATCTTATAAACGTAGGAGAAGCACTTTCACATCGGTTTGGTGGATGCCAGCTTGTAACACTTGTCATCACATCAGGCTATCGCGGCACTATCTTATCTGCACTATTAAAACCCTCCCCTATTCCGAAATCATAAATTCATTACAAACTAGCTAGTTATATACACTATATAGTGCATTCGGGAAGTATTCAGACCCATTAACTTTTTCAACATTTTGTTACGTTACAGCCTTATCCTAAAATGGATTAAATAAATAAAAATCCTCAGAAATCTACAAACAATACCCCATAATAACAAAGTGAAAACACGTTTTTTGGAAAGTTTAGCAAATGTATTAAAAACAACAAACAGAAATACCATATTTACATAAGTATTCAGACCCTTTGCTATGAGACTCGAAATTGAGCTCAGGTGCCCGCTGTTTCCATTGATCATCCTTGTAATGTTTCTACAACTTGATTGGAGTCCACCTGTGGTAAATTCAATTGATTGGACATGATTTGGAAAGGCACACACCTGTCTATATAAGGTCCCACAGTTGACAGTGCATGTCACTCCTCAGTAAAAGGCACCTAAAGACTCTCAGACCATGAGAAACAAGATTCTCTGGTATGATGAAACCAAGATTGAACTCTTTGGTCTGAAAGCCAAGCGTCACGTCTGGAGGAAACCTGGCACCATCCCTACGGTGAAGCATGGTGGTGGCAGCATCATGCTGTGGGGATGTTTAGTCAGGAATGAGGGAAAGATGAATGGAGCAAAGTAGAGAGAGATCCTTCATGAAAACCTGCTCCAGAGTGCTCAGGACTTCAGACTGGGGCGAAGGTTCACCTTCCAACAGGACAACGACCCTAAGCACACAGCCAAGACAATGCAGGAGTGGCTTCGGGACAAGTCTCTGAATGTCCTCGAGTGGCCCAGCCAGAGCCCAGACTTGAACCTGATCGAACATCTCTGGAGAGACCTGAAAATAGCTGTGCAGCATCGCTCCCCATCCAAACTGACAGAGCTTGAGAGGATCCGCAGAGAAGAATGGGAAAAACTCCCCAAATACAGGTGTGCAAAGATTGTACCGTCATACCCAAGAAGACTCAAGGCTGTAATCGCTGCCAAAGTTGCTTCAACAAAGTACTAGTAAAGGGTCTGAATACTTATGTAAATATGATATTTCCATATTTGTAATAAATTAGCAACATTTTCAAAAAAACTGTTTTTGCTTGGTCATTATAGGGTATTGTGAGGAATTGATAGAAATAAAAACAATTTGATCAATTTTAGAATAAGTCTGTAACCTAACAAAATGTGGAAAAAGTCAAAGGGTCTGAATACTTTCCCGAAGGCGCTGTATATACAAAAGTATATACAGCGTTAGTGGACCCTTCAAATTAGTGGATTCAGTTAGTTCAGCCACACCCGTTGCTGACAGGTGTATAAAAATCAAGCACACAGCCATGCAAACTCTATAGACAAACATTGGCAGTAGAATTGCCTTACTAAAGAGCTCAGTGACTTTTAATGTGGGACCGTCATAGAATGCCACCTTTCCAACAAGTCAGTTCGTAAAATGTTGAAACGCGTTCTCTGGAGTGATGAAGCACGCTTCACCATCTGGCAGTCCGATGGACGAATCTGGGTTTGTCGAATGTCAGGAGAACGCTACCTGCCCCAATGCATAGTGCCAACTGTAAAGTTTGGTGGAGGAGGAATAATGGTCTGGGGCTGTTTTTCATGGTTCAAGCTAGGCCCCTTAGTTCCAGTGAAGGGAAATCTTAACGCTACATCATACAATGACATTCTAGACGATTATGTGCTTCCATCTTTGAGGCAACAGTTTGGGGAAGGCCCTTTCCTGTTTCAGCATGACAATGCCCACGTGCAAAAAGCGAGGTCCATACAGAAATGGTTTGTCGACATTGGTGTGGAAGACTGCACAGAGCCCTGACCTCAATCCCATCTAACATCTTTGAGATGAATTGGAATGCCAAATACAAGCCAGGCCTAATCGCTCAGCATCAGTTCCCGACCTCAATAATGCTTTTTGGTTGAATGGAAGAAAGTCCCTGCAGCAATGTTCCATCATCTAGTGGAAAGCCTTCCCAGAAGAGTAGAGGCAGTTTTAGTAGCAAAGGGGGGACCAACTCCATATTTATGCCCATGATTTTGGAATGAAATGTTCGACAAGCAGGTATCCACATACTTTTGGTAATGTAGTATATTTTGATTCAATCTACTAGGCTATTCAAGGCTGTTCAATCAAATGATTTTCCTGTTTGCCCAATCAAAGTTACCGTAGCGTATCATCCGCAGGAAAACAAAAAGTGTACCTCAGGCTACACTCTCTAACACTTCAAAACCGATAGTCACACTGTCACTACTGCCTACACCTTAGCTAACTAGCTTAGCTGTCTACTGCATCGATGGATTCCCGGGAGAGAGACATGTTTAAATATTATTGTTGTGCTTGGAGCTGGTTCAGACGATCAGTGGCTTGAACTTATTTGCGACTACTTTTTGACCCTAAGCCGGAGAGCGTCATCACCATCAGTGACTCTGTAAACAGCACAGACACCGACTCAGACGAGCTGACCGAAGTCGAGGCAGAGCCCCTTGAGGAGGCAACCGAGAACCACCCGTTAATGGTGGATCCGTCAATTACGGTGCTTCAGTAGGTCGAGGGGGAATATGTCAGTGATGCTGGGCAAGAAATTGAAATGGCTCGCATGTTCAACGAAGGGAAGCCCTGCTAGTTGCTTTTCACCCCAAGGAGATTGTCAAGAGACGTGACCAGATTAATTATCTCACCTATGGTAAGTGCTTGCCATTCAACTATTAGTCAAGTTTAGTTGGCTGTGAGTGTGAAATGTGTGCGTGTTTCTGTGTCTGTCTATCTGTCAGAGTTTGTGTGTGATGAGGCACAAGTAGACTGGCTAGCTAGTGTAAAGCTGTGTGAGTGTGTGCTTATATTTGTCCTAAAGACAGGTTACATAAATGCATTAAATGGCCATCTATAAAGCTATCACATACTGTACCTTTATATCAAACATGACCCATTTACAATACTAGTAAAAGTGTGTGTGTGTGTGTACTGTTTTGTGGTGTGTGTGTGTGAGTGTTATTGAAAGTGTGTTGATTTTACTTGAACATTTATTGGCTGGAGTAGATTATGACGATGACTGAATGTTAAATAATTATATCTTGTTATTTGTCACATCAACATCATTATCCCAGAAACCCTAAACCCACCCAATTTGCATACCGCCCCAACAGATCCACAGATGATGCAATCTCTATTGCGCTCCACACTACCCTTTCACACCTGGACAAAAGGAACACCTATGTGAGAATGCTATTCATTGACTACAGCTCAGCGTTCAACACCTGTCACGTACGTTAAGGAACGGGACGGACCAAGGTGCAGCGTGAACGGCGAACATGTTTATTAACTAATAAACACACGAAACAGTAACCAAAACAACAAACTTAACCGTGACGGTCCATAGGCTAACACACAAGCCTAAACATGAACATAACAAAATCCCACAACGCAAGCAGGAAAACTGGCTGCCTAAGTATGATCCCCAATCAGAGACAACGAGCGACAGCTGCCTCTGATTGGGAACCACACCCGGCCAAGCATAGACGTAGCCTTTTTGTGTTCTACTGAAACCAATACCAAACCAATTAGGTGGTTGTTCAACGAAATCAAGCTTCGGACGTAATTAATCACGTGCTTCTGAAAAAGCGATACAAGCATTGGCACACTGCTTCAAAATAAACTGCTTAGCGATTTCGACGCATGCCTTGGAGCTCCAGCGTCAACAGTAACATAACTGCTTATAACTAAAAGTAGAAAGGAGTGGTGGGAAAAGTACCAACTTGCTCATACTTGAGAAAAAGTAAAGATACTTTAATATAAAATGACTCAAGTAAAAGTTAAAGTCAACCAGTAAAATACTACTTGAGTAAAAGGCTAAAAGTATTTGGTTTTGAATATACAGTG